TGCCGCTCTGCCCAAGGGCGATGGTTCCCCGAGCCGTCAGGCTGCCCTGCTGCTCCGAGGGCATGGCCAGTCCCAAGGGCTGCGGTCAGCATTTCTCCTCCTGCTCCTTACTGGAAGAGGGGTGAAGCAGCAGGCAGAGCGGGGCTGGGAGCTGGGCTGTGCGCTGCCAGCACGGGCAGATCACATCCCATCCTGGTACTGATCTTGGAGTAATCTCTGTTGGGTAGTTAGTCAGATGCCTCAAAATTGAGGGTTTCCAAGCTCCTCATGAGCTTTATTGCAGCACCAGCTGTTCTTATTCTGCTTCTGAATGTCACATCTTGAGCTCAGCCTGGCTTTTGCTTTGGGGCTTTGTGGGAACACAGCCTGGGGGGCTCAGTGCTTCTCCAGATTCCCCTGGTGTGCCAGGGAGAGAGTGGGAAGCTGTGAGAGCAGGAGCAGGCAGTCTGTTGAAGGCTGTGCAGAGTTGCCATTTGCAAAAGGCACTTCCCTCATCCCGGCTCCCCTCCAGGGACGCTGCCAGAAGCTCTGGCTGGCATTGCCTGGCCTTTCCTGCAAGAAGGGCGCATTGGCATTAGTGCTCCGGCACATCAGCGTTCGTTTCCTGACAGTCTGCGGGCTGGCAATGGGGTGGGGACACAGGGATGGTGCTCACATCCAGCTGGCTGCTTCAGAAACCCATTTAATGGCAAAAAGGCTTCATCCTGCCGGCCTTGATTAATAAAAAATAGCCTTAAATCATGGAGTAAGCTCTGACCGTGGAGGGAGGGCAAGGGCTCTCGTGATTTCACTAACAGCTTTAAGGCCTGGATTTACATTTTTATCCCCTCTCCAGCTCTGACGGCTGCTGTACCCTGTGCAGTGCAGCGGGGGACCGACAGTGGTGGTGAAATCCTGACTCACTGGGGCGGAAGCTGTGTAAAGGTGTCACAGAAAGTGTCTCACTGCCCTGCTGAGTGCGAGTGACAGTTTTCCCACGTGTTAAGACTTATTTTATTTATTCTCCTTCATTTGCTAGGAGAAGAAGAAAAAAAAGAAGCACAAGAGTAAGGAGTCTTCCGAGTCGGACTCAGACAGCTCGGACTCGGACAGCAATGGCGGTCAGCCAGCCAGCAAGAGGACCAAGCACTCAGGGAAGGCTAGCAAGGTGCAGAAAAAGAAGAAGAAAAAGAAGCACAAGAAGAAGCCCCGGGACTGAGCGTGCGGGCAGGGGTACGGGCAGTGTGAGCCCCTGGTGCGCACCACGAGGAACCGTCAGAAGTGAATCAGCGTGTCCCTTGCTCTGGAGACAAAAGTTTCCTTCTAAAAGTGATGCTCGGCATGTGGCCTTACAGGTGGTGACTTTGATACGCGTTGTCCCCTGTACCCGCAGGCGCTGGGCTGCTGTTCTCTGTCCCCGGGAGGCCCTCCTGCCAAAATTGGCTCCTGACACCCCTCCCTCGGCACCTCTCCTGTCCCGTAGCCTCACGTTTCGCTGGGTCAGCTGCCAGCGCTCCGTGGCTCTGCGGGACCACGCGGCCATCGTCACCCAGCCTGCATGACGTCAGCCCCCAGCCAGCTGCCTGGAAAAGCTGGAGCCCCGCGGCCGCGCTCTCCCTGCCCGTCCCCGTGCCGGGGCCAGGGGTGGTTGTTGCCAGGCCGTTGCAATGGGGCTGCATCCTGCCCGCCGGTAACGGCGCGGAGCCTCTTGGCTTTGGTGCAAACCTTCCCCCAGCCTCGCTCGTTTTGTCTGCAAACATTGGGAGAGGGAGAGTGAGAAGCAAATGGGTGAGTGGAGATATTTTAAGTAAACATGAACTGTGGTGTGTTTGAAGCCTTGTAAAGTGATGGGAAATAAATCTTGCCAGTCTCCTGTTGTACTTTGTACCACGTCTTTTCTTTTGTATGCTCCGCGCTTCATCTTGGGCAGTGAAAAAATAGAGCTAGGTGTGCGGGAGGGGCTGTGACCTGCGTTAAGGGGTTTTTTGAAGGTGCTGGCTGCTTTCAGAGGTTCCGTGGGGCGGGAAGGGGGTGTGTGAGGAGGTGACACCTGTGACAAGCCCGCTGCCTCCTGGTAAGGAGCAACTGGAGCATAAATCTTGTAACTGGAGCTGAAGGTCAGGGGGGAGGCATGGCAGAGGGCTGGGCTGTCCCGCCGTGGCTC